CCGAGCCCCTTTTCGACTTGCCACTTTTGCTCCAGCGCTTCGTCGGCACGTCGACGCAACACATTGATCTCAGATCGAAGGCTGGATATTTCTTTCTGGAAGCCAGCTTTCTGTGGTGATTCGGTCAAAAGGCGGTCACGCTCTATCTCGAGCACCCGAATCTTCTTTTCGTTTTCCTTATTTTGATGTTCCTGCCTCTCCAGAAGGTTCTTGAGCGCCCTGTGAAGGGCATCTCGCTGCTCCTCCACGTCCTTGAGCCGCTCCGACAGTTGGTCTCGAGATTCAACTGTCTTAACTGATTTAGACCTCGATAGACCAGATGGCGGCCTCTGGAGCTTGAAAGACGACGGTGGGCCGGTGAGAGAGTTGGACCGGGATAGTCGGGATCCGGCAGATATGTTTTCTTCTGAAATGGTGCCCATCGAACTGGACTGCATCTGCTTCAGAGACGTGTTTTCGCGTTTGAGCGTCTGGACCTCCTGCTGCATTTTCGATGATTCATATGACATCTTCTCAAGATCTGCTGCTTGTGCTTCGAGGCCTTCCACGCGAGCGCGAAGTTGAGGAACGATCTCTTCCCGAAGATTGTCGCGTTCGTTAGAGGCATTTTGAAGCTCACCCTTGAGTGCTGTAAGCAAGTCCTCGAAGTTATCCTTGACCTGTCGCTCCTCGGTAAGTTTGCGCCGCAAGGTCTCACAGGTACTCTCCAATTCCTTTACGCGTCCGCTGGTGTCAACATTTTGAACTTTTGCGAGGTCGATTTGAGAAGCCCTCTCCGAGAGCTCTCTGATCTGATCATCGAGCTCCTGTCTCCTGGATCTCTCGTCCTGGAGCTTGTTGGTGAGCTCGAGCCGAATCTGGGCCTTCTCCTGCTCCGATCTTCTCTGGATCTTGTCGATCTCTTCCCTAGATTGGTCATATTCGCTCAACTTGGCAGAGCTGTATCCCGAATCTGAGAAGTAATCGCTGGTTCTCTTGTTTCCGGTTGTCGTGGGGTTATCTCTCTCCGCTTGTAATCTGTCAACTAAGTCTTCCAGGTCCATCTCGCGCCGAATTGAGGCAGCCAATTCGGCCGAGATGGCCTTCAGCTCGTCCTCCATTTCTTCGATTTGGAGAGACGGTGGTAATGTAGCGGTTGGTGGTGTTGCCAAATAAGATTCGCAGTATTCTCTCGAATTTGGGGATCCGAATATCGCCTTGGGGGCGTCGAGTAGTGATTGTGGTCTGATTGTTGTGACGGGGGATGCATCGGAAACACTGGTTGCCTTTGAGAAGTTGAAAGGCGACGGAAGAGGCGAAAACCCTTTGTCTGAGTTTTCCGTATTAGAAGGCGAAGAAGCCCAGCCAAAGAACGTCCCTAGCTTTGATGAGCCCGGTGACTTCGGTAGTGGTTTATCAGTATTAGGCGTCCTAACGTCGTAACTTTCAGCTACCGGTGTCAGCGCTGTGTCGTCTAATTTGAGGTTTAACTGTGGTGTGGCCTTCCGGGTGACGTGCAACGACATAGTACTAGAAGGATCAGGATTAGGGTTTGCATCTGACGAATCTGAGTTATATCCGTCGAAAATGTTCTCATTCAGTGGGTCTTCGTCTTCGTCACTGAAAAGGTCGTCATAGGCTGTCTGTCCTTTGTGTTGCGACTCGCCGGTGATGTGGCCTGTTTGAGGACCGGCAGGGTTGCTAGCCCGAGAGTTTAGGTGTTTGACTTCACCCGCTATGATAGCCGTTTCTGGGTCAGCGGCGGCTAGCGGATGACGAGCGTCGGAAGTTTCTCTGGTTAAATTGAAGAATTGATTAGCAACGCAGAACAAATGAAGACGAGACGCGTTGGATTGTAAGTTAATGAGACGTTGACTCACTCCTTGTTTCCCTGAATCAATATGATATCGTCGGGCGATTCCAGCCCGGGTCTAAACATAGGCTCGACAGGAGCACGAGAGAACTCGTACACAGTAGGGCTGTCTACCGAGAAGGAGCGAGAGAATCGTTGCTCCGGCCCAGGCAAACCTTTAGCAATGGTAAGGTACTCTCCAGAGGAATACCTGGTAGCGATTGGTGACGCGGTGGACGACAGCGGCTTCCGTCGAATGGACCGGACTGGCCGCGGGATGGCGGAGCTGTCGATAACAAGACCTCTCGTGTTTCTCGAGACTGGTAGGGCGGGCACGGCGTCTAGGGATTGCGATTGGTCTGAGAGGAGAGGAAACGGGTGCTGAAGAAAAGACAGATCAGATGAGGCATGGGAAGTCTCAGAGTTGGCCGTGAGGGAGGGCCGGTGCGTATGGTCTTGCAAGCTTTGGCTCGGCAGAGACTGACGAGTGACCTTAGGGACAGACATGGTTGTCGATCTGCTACCTTAGTCCCTTGTCTTATCACTCATGACTAGACTCTAATAGTAGCCGGGGAATGTGTGGAGAGTATGAAGCTGAGCCAAGAGATTATTGACTTGGGCTCCCAGAGGAAATGGTACTGTTTCACTGAGAATGATAGAAAGGCAACATGGAGCAAAGCAGCAGCAACAGATGACAACCAGAAAAGAGCGACGACACACAGCAGAGAAAGAGCGAAAGGACCAAAATGCGTCTGGGCCAGGGGGTTGGAATGCTCGAAAGGGGTATGGCGGCGTGGGTGCGCACCGAATAGCGTCGCAATCGGTCGTTTTTCCATTATTAGATCATGAAATCTTAAGAACAGGCACCAAGGATGGCAGAGAGCATAGACCAACGATGTGGTTCCTTAGTGGTTCCTGCTGCATTCTGCTAACTTCTGCAGGCGCTCCAAGATTGACAGGCATTCCTTTAGCGCGTCTGCATTTCCCTAGTTGGGCTAGATGATAGATTTGATCCTGGTTGGGCCCTGGGTGGCTTCAGGAGACGATTCTAGTGGCCGAGCACCACCTGGAGCTGTCAACCAACTCATTAACGTTCTGTGATGCAGACCCTGTTCGTGTCCGCTTTTGGCTGTCTGCAATCTTACTTCCCCTGCAGCCGGGTAGCATTGCTTCCAACGAGGCTGGCGAATCGTGGGAGCGAGTGCTCAACAGTAAGAAATATTTACTCATTGTTTTGCCAGTATTTTTGCTGAGAGGGAGGGCGAAAATATTTTATCTTACCCCCGCGGAAGACCTGGCTTCTGTCACGCGTTCTCCTGCATTATGCAGGTACTACCAACCTGCAAGGCACGGCATTTGAGGTAAATGATCAGCAATTCGGCTTGCGGGGTGTTCTATGTTGCTTCGCTTAGAGATATGTTGCTTGGAGAGTCTGTAGGCACATAATCTCAAGTTCGCCGATGACGAATTGCCCCTTTTGTGACGGCTGGACGAAGATACTGTAGATTTCAAATATCCGATTGCTCGATCCCTTGCGGCTCAGGCGGCTAGCGGGAAATTCGAAGGATAATTTTTACCTATCATCGGGCTGTCAGGCTGTTGGCTTTTACAGATGATCAATAAAAAATGATAAGCCGGAATACCGCGCGCCAAATTTTAAGCCGTTGAGGCTCTTTCGCACAAGAAGAAACCCCGAGCTGGTTCCCTGCAGGCTTGGACCCTGACGAGAGAAAGACAAGAGTTCGATAGACGCTGGGATCGGTTTATTAGCTTGAGCCTCAATGGTCGACGGCCCACTGTTCAACGTCGCGCACACTGTGCTGATTTGCAGAAAAGGCAGTGAATTTCCACGGGACTCCGATCCTCGAGGACATGGAAACCTCATGTCCGTGGAGCACCGTAAAGTACTTGTTCGCAAAAGCTTGACGCAGGAAACGTACATTCCGAGATTCTTCCCGAGCCATATCAATCGATATAGCTATGTACACAGTAGCTCGAGATGTGGGAGATCAGGGGTTTCTTTCGCATAAGCGGTTTGATTGTCAGCAGTCACTCGATCCTTGTGCTCATCAGTGGAACAATCGTCCAAGATTGTAAATAGGTGGCCGAGGCCCGAGACGTCTAGATCCATGACTTCTAGCCACGCCTATTGTCTTTCTTTGGATGTGATCCTCAGAGACGATAGCCGATTAATAGGCCTGACCGACTCCGAGGTATCGCAGTATTTACATTACTCGCCTACAAAAAGTAATTGGGGATTTCGTGCAGGCGGTTGCATGATTACGCGGTGTCGGAGAAATTCAAAGTTGTGACGGAGTTGATTGGGTGCAATAATTCGGTGCAGTGGCCTAGCGCCAGGGACCGGATTTGCAGATGCAGAACCTCGAATCTCTCTCATTAGCCAACGAGCGATCGTGCGGATACACAGGCGACAAGACGAAGGAAGGTCACACAGGCACACTAATAAATAGTCCAGCTTCGGTGACCAGACCATTGTCCGCTTGATAATTGGTGTACGACTTACGGATGCATGGTGTAGTACTATGGGACCAGTTCGTTGAGAACATACTACAAGGGGCTTACAAGTAGGTGGGCAGTAGTGTTCGATGAAGAGGTACTATAGGCTACAATACTTCATACAAATTGAAAGATCATCTCCAGACGTTCATATCTGATATGAACCTCAGCCAATTAGGAGAAAGCAGCTCACTACGAGGGTCGGTAAGAGGCAGGGGATCTAAGAACCTGATCGAGGAAGACATTCCAGATACTCCATTGGTAATGTCACGACACTACGATATCATGATCCAATCTATTGAAATATAAAAAAACTTAACGTATGGGAGACGACTACGACCCCCGATGGCAAGCTAGACATGACTTGGTACGGTGATAGTGTCGTTTTCGTCCGTGTTATTGCCAAGCCGACAGAACTGTACGGTCCCGCCTTCGGTTTAATCTATATTGAAGCACGACATGCCGTTGACTTCGGATGGCCAGGTACTCGTTGAGCAAAGTTGAGAGCTGAATACTGCTCAAATCGAGATAGTGATCGAAATTGGATTACCTAAGAGTATGCTCGGTAAAAGCCGGCACATACCCCTCGTAGCAACCCCGCACACAGGCTTTATATACTGTAAATTCAACCCCAAACATCACAACAAACTCAGCCCGGTTAGCTCAATCGGTAGAGCGTGAGACTCTTAATCTCAAGGTTGCGGGTAAGTCACTGTTACTTGTCCTCTGCTTGTAGCCCATGTTAACCCTTGTGCCGTAGGTTCGACCCCCGCATCGGGCTCAATTCCTGATGCTTCCCAGTCAACTGGGATTAGCAACCAAAATTTTTTTTTTTTTTGGAAAATTCCCCTTACCTATTATTGCGCAGTGTTTTTTCTCTCGCACGTATGTGTTCATTATATCTTAAACTATGGATTGCGGTTTTTGTCAGAGGAAGCTACATAGTGGAAAGGAATAATGAACGTTATGAGATGTCTGCTTTCGCACGAGCCAGACAGTCCAGCTTTACCTCTAGTGTAATAATCTCATGCCACTCGATCCGTGCTGCGCTGCCCACCTACATACGTGTCGCTGGATTTATTGAGTTGTGTTAACCAGCGATCGAGCAAGCCGAGCAAATTTTCCTCTAGCGCCAGTAGAAGACCACATCGGCTACCGGTAGGCAAAATAAATAGAGACGCTACTGCCTCACGAAGGATGAACTAAGTAGCCAGACAGCGTACAACACATCATACAGTGGCACTTGCATTTATTCTTAGATTCGGCAGATATCTAGTAGGTCTAGGCACTCTTCTATCATCCATTTATCTGCTACTCCAAAATAGCTACAACGGCATCCAAAACAGAGGACGAGGGTTTATAAGAGGACACAAATGTATGCTTCGTTATGTCGTACACGCCTAACCCCAAGCCCCAAAATACGCTACCTTGCTCCGCCTATCAGTGGTCCTGACACGCCTCCCGACAGAGTAAATCACACGGGAGGGGGATGAGCAGGCAGTCGAAGGCGGCGATGACGGTGGACCCGGGATCGACGCCCATGATGTGGCACAGGGGGGCGATGACGAGGGGGAAGACGGCGGCGGCGCAGGGGGCGTAGGCCTGGAAGGTATCGATGAGGCAAATGAGGGTGGCCTAGAAAGTAGTGATGAAGCGGCAGTCAAACAGCCCGGTACAGGCGGACGACGGGTGCGGTCCCCGCGTCTGCCCGTCCACTCGTCACGACAGCACCGAGCTCAGCATCATGGCCGGCAGCCTGCGCTCGGGCACCGCCTTGTAGTACAAGTAATTAAATTGCGAAATAGCCATGAATTACCCATGATTCAGAAAAAGGGATTTGGAATTTGCTGTCGGCTAGTAAATTCGTAAATGATAAACCCGCATGGTATACCTATAAATCACGCTTGCACACCCGTTCTTCATATAGCAGAAGAGCACTGCGTTATGAGGCAGGCTTCCGCCCAACTGCGGCCACAATCTTACCATGATGGATCACGACGCCATTCTCCGTCTCCTCCACAGCCTTAGCGAACAGTTCCACCCACAGTTCTCTGGTCATGGGCGCTTCCGGCGCGACGGCCTTGGGTGGGAAAAGCGCATAGAGCTCCTCCCAAACCATCAAATTGTCATCGGTCCAACCCTTCAGATCCTGTTTCAGCACGTCCGTCTCTGCCTTGTAGACATTGTCAAAACCATGCTCCGTTAGAATTCGGTCCATTCCGCTCGTGAAATCGAACTTCAGCCCCCTTGCTTCTGCGGCCGCCTTCAGCATCTGTGCGATGGTATCACACGTAGATTTTGAGATGTCCGGGGATGGGGAATCGATGAGGAATCCGTCAGCCCATGACTCTTCCCATTGAAGCCAGCCGCCCGGCTTCAGCAAGGCCGTAACGGTGGTTAGCAGAGGCGTAGCATTTGAGCTGGCGACGATGCTCGCGAAAGCGCGAACATGGACAATATCGTAAGCGCCAATCATCTCCTGGGGCAATGGCCTGGAGAGAATGTCGAGCTTCTTGAGGGTGACTGACTGAGGGAGAAATTCAGCGGCAGGGAAAAGAACAGGATTGACATCAAAGCCGTCTAGCTGAGCAGATACACCCTTCTTAGAGAGCTCCCGTTCCAGGTCTATAAGCCAAATGCCATTGCCGCAACCGAGATCGGCAACTGCCAACGGCTTTGGGGGCGCCGAGTCAATAGAACTCTGAACACGAGAATCGACGAGGTAACCGAGTGTATTTTGGAAAAGAAGATGTTGTAGATGTAAGCGAGCGGAGGTTCTGAAGTTCCTGGATTGCGCTACCCAGTAGGTCGAAGCATTGTAGTCGTAGTCTGTAGGTAGCCATATTGACGTTAGCAACTGAGCAAAGGAAGAAACGAAGCTTATCTGCCAGAGGCGAATAAAGAAGCTTGGAGATTAAACTATCGCAAGTAACGAGGTCGAAAGGAACTGGAGACCTCACGGTATTTATAAGGGCTTGCGGCTAGATTACAACTGTATACTTCTAGACAAGGGACTGCCAGACAAGGACCATGCTTACATGTGCAGGGCCGACCGGAATTCGTTGAGGTTACACATATCCAATTGGGTCACCTCTTTATGTTGGATATGTTAAATATACTACCCCTTACATTGGTCGTTTATTATTCCAGCTGACTTTAATAGCAAACGTAGATCACATGCAATCTGATAGAATCAAAGGTGATCCATAAATATAAGGAAAAACCTGGAAACTACCTAAGCTAAGCCACTACCTGGTACTGGCCCCCTATGCTTCTCATTGTATATGGGTATGATGGTCTCATATAGGTCTTTAGATCTCAGGTCAAAAATATGTTATATGTTGACTCGGTGTTCCCTAAATCCAGATCCTGGATACTCCTTCGTTTGGATTGGACTCCCTTGCGGATTAATGACAAGAGACTACCCGTCATGGTTCCTTTGGGCAGTTCCGGTAGGGACTTGGCAGGTGCTCATCCGTATTACCGCCGTCTCGTTCCCTTGAATACCAGCTGATCGGTATCGCACGTATCCTATCAGGTACTCGTGCCCAGACTCTGTTACCAGGAGAAATACGAATACGCGCACAAAGGGTTCCAACGTTGAGTACAGCAACGCCGAGAAGTCAGTTGGGAGATCAAGTGGCTACGGTACATAAGTACAAAATGGCAGTACGTGAGATAGTGCTTCGAATTACTACTCGACCACGGATTCATGGCTTAGACTTCGCCTGCGAATTGTTTAGCATTATGTCCCGGGCTGAAGCTAAACGCGCTCAACAGAAGGTTGTGGGAAAGAATTATAGAATCTATGGGCAAGTTTGCCTCTTATAGCAGGATCTCAGATTCTTGGTCGGCATAATACCTCCTCAGCCTATACCGCCTTCCAACTCCTGCACCTACGACCTGGAGCACCAAGAGTTCCCAGGCTCAGGCGCCGAAAGTGCCGGGGATAGGGGTTAATAAGGGTTTACAGCACCACCCATGTTGCCGTAGAAGTATAGGAGTCTACGCCCGAAAATCTCGCTCAGCGGCGCTATTAGAAGAGGGTCGAAGGCAAAGCCTAAGATGTAGATGGACACGAGAAACGTGGCCACCGTATATGAACTCTCCCGAAACTCAATCATGATACCAGGAACACCAGGGGAAAACATGGAAGAACCCAGGGGTCTATATTGCGTAAGCATATCATAGTTGTTAAGCTAGGAGGATAATGCTCACGTTATGACGGTCATAAGCGATAAAATACCAATATTCAACTATTTATTCTTGTCGGTCTAGTTCATTGGAATATGGAAGTCGTCTGGCCTATCCTAGTCCACGACTTCCGGGTCCTTCTCTTCGGCAGTGGGTTCTCGGTTGGAAAGGCTGGCTTCGACTTTATCAACTGAAATTTGCTCAGTACTCAACTCATCTGTGTCTGATGTCGTCTCCGCAAGCTCCTTCTCCGTCCTTATATCTATCACGGTAGGATCTCGCTATGCCAGGAGTGATCTTGAAAAGACTTGTTGGCGAGCCTGTAGTGAGGGGTCTTTAGAGCCCTGGGGGATATATGTATGTACATACAAGCTTGAAGAAATGACACTATACGAAGGACTGTGGCTCCCTATAGTTTAAGGTAACTGTTGATTTTATTAATTATACAGCCACGTTACGCCCCGAACAATGAATAGGGAACCGACAACCCAGATGGGCACCGACGATCCAACTACCGACCTCGTCCCGGAGCAGGTTTGCACAGAATTCTGCAGATCCCACGTAGAGTGAGGAGGTCGTATGGACGTGGGAGCTGGCTGAGCCTCCTGAGCCTCAGACCTACAGCTGGGAGCTAGAAACTTGGCGGATTGGAATGGGCCATCTCGTCCTCCAGGGAACGAGGCGCAGCGCCGTTACTGTGCGACGAAAAGCGTGGGCACCGATAGAGGCCACAGCCTGTAAGGCTGATGTAGACCGTTCAACTAGCGATTCATGCTGATTGGGCAGAGGCCTCTATCGAGATCTCAAGCGAAGATCCACAGGACTGTCGGAGGGACAAACCGAGACTTGGCTTATTTCCATGTAGAATATTAGACCCAGGAACAGGCCCGACTTGATGTGCTGTACGATAGCTGTGACAGTTACAGCCAAGGAAGTCATAAGCAATGGGAGGCAACGATAGACAGACATGAAGTGTAGGAAATACACGACTTCGCTACCAATCTCCAAACTGCACCTCGTCCTGCTGGATGTCGTTGACGCGAAACCTCTCCGGATCCCTCAACGGCGTCCAATCCTCAGCCTCGCTGACGCGGTAGTTCCTCAAGATACCAGCGGGCACCTGCGACACAAGCACCTGGTTCTCGAAGCGGAAGGCGTGGCCGGAGCTCGGGACCCAGGCCCCGCCGCGGAACTCCTCGAACATCTTTGCCTGGAAGCTGACGTCGACAAAAGCGGACTCAGCAGCGTCCCAATTGCGCGACCACTCAGCGTCGCGCGGCGGCACGAGCTGCCCCAGGTCCTCCAGCGCCCAGCGGAACTCGTCGCTGACATGGTCCCGCACCTCGTCAACGTAGCGAGCCAGGCCCGTCATGCGGCGGTCGTACCCGCGATCCACGCAGACGATATGGCTATGCGAGCCATCAGCCGGCTGCTCGACGGGCCGCAGACGGCACCGGCGGGCGGGCGGGCGGAAACGCGCGGCCGCGTCGAGGATCGCCTTGCGCGCCGGGACCACGAACGAGATGCTGTGCACGTCTAGGCGCGGGTTGCCCACCAGCACCCACAGAAAGCTGCCGTCCTTGGCGC